TGTTTTCCCTCCTCTTTAAATGGGTTAACATATTTTATTTTATTTGTATGTTTTATGTCTATTCTATATTGAATATTTATTATGATTTTCAGAAATTCAAGTCATGTCCGATGACGATGGGTACAAGAGAAAGCATGAGTCTGGCTATATTAAACGGCAGAAAAAGTAAAGTAAAGAGGATGCATTAAAAAAAATGAAAGGTTCTTTGCTAAAATATGTTAATAAAATAGATGCTACTTCTGGCAATGACACTTTAATAAACTCTTTTGTTTCTTCAACAAGTCTAGGAATAGTAATACCAGAGCCAGAACCAATGCTGACTGACACTGTGGAACAATGCGGTTGTGCAATAAGTTTTACAAGTGAACCAGTTATTCAAGCAGATACGAAACCAACTGTAGCAGATTTAGGATTGGGAATAAGGAATACTAAGGAATCTATTTCAAATGATCCTGCTGAATGGGAAATAAATGCTGATCTCATAGCTTATTATGCAGAGAATATTTGAAATCTGATTTAAGCTTAAAAGGTAGACAATTTGGTGAAAATATTAGATATGTACACAAGGAATATTTTATAAGAAAACTGGTAAATGGAGAAATTGTCAGCAGGGATTGGCTCATATATTCGCCCTCAACTGGTAAAGTGTTTTGTTATATTTGCAAGATATTTGGTTGCAAAGTCGGCAGTGCTGGTTCTAATAATGCACCAAGGAATCAATTTATAACTGATTTTAATGATTGGAAAAATGTTATTGCTAGGATAACCTCACATGAAAAATCAAAAGATCATTTTGCTGCTGTGTCAATTATAATGCAATACAAAAAGTCTACTCGAATTGATGTTGAACTTCAGAAGGAAAATGAGAAGTCTTGCAAATACTGGACAAATAGATTCCTTAGTATTCCTTATTCCCAATCCTAAATCTGCTACAGTTGGTTTCGTATCTGCTTGAATAACTGGTTCACTTGTAAAACTCATTGCACAACCGCATTGTTCCACAGTGTCAGTCAGCATTGGTTCTGGCTCTGGTATTACTATTCCTAGACTTGTTGAAGAAACAAAAGAGTTTATTAAAGTGTCATTGCCAGAAGTAGCATCTATTTTATTAACATATTTTAGCAAAGAACCTTTCATTTTTTTTAATGCATCCTCTTGAAGAGGGTTGTTGTAGTGATGAAGTTTCTTGCTTCAATTGAAAATGAAGTAATGCGGGAGATGACATTTGAAGATGTTATAGTTGATTTTGCAAATAACAAAAGTCGAAAAGTTAATGTCATCTAATTATGCTGTTTGATTATAAACATTTTTATCAATTTTGAATATTATGATGCGTCTGTATGATTGTTTTATTAATGAAATGAATAACACTTTAAAATTTTTTTTTTTTCATTACTTTTGTAGGCCCCTGTTGATTCGTATGCTCAGGCACAGTGCCTATAGTGCCTTATGGATAAAATGACCCTGGACAGGCCCGTATTTAATTGCACATTTACAAGAGCTACAGTGGTCAATTTCGGAGCACTTGATGGTACTTGATGGTATCTGACCTAAACCAAAACATACATATTTTATAGTTACAATAAACTTTGTTTAGCAAGTTTGTGTAAAACTTTCAAATTATTCGTTTTTAAAGAAACTAGAACTTGTCAAAAATTTACTTCTTGAAATCTATCTAGTGTTATTTCTTAAAAAATTAATTTCAATATATATGTTAAAATTATTTAGGTATAAATATTAACCAGGGGTAACTGTAAGTAGAGGCCTGCCGGATGCTTTAGCCAGTAGAGTAGTTCTTTCTGGAGATAATTCTTAATTGGAAATAACTTGAGATGCGATTTGTTCGGATGATTTGGCATCTTTTGCTGCTAAAAATTTTTCCCCTTAACATTATTTGAGAGCATTGGTGCGGCAAACCTTTTCCTAAATGGCTGAGGCATTTGCTGCAACGCACCTTTGGTTTTTTCTTAATAGTGGTTTGCTCTATAAGAGGACGCTTTTCTTGCAGCTTTGAACGACCAATTCGGCATATAAGACAATAACACATCGTGCCTCTTGTTTCAGGTCTCACTTGTATTGACTTAAAATCAAACAAAGGAGGAAGTGCAACTTCTTTCCCCTCTTGTTCCCTGCGCAAAGTAATTCTACACG